CGTCATTTGGCTCTCAAGCAGAATCTCTCTTGGTCAACTATTTTTACTTGCTGTACCAATTTAACAGTTGTTTTTATGTGTATAAGTGATTATTTTATAAGATTGATTAATCAATACATGTTATCATTGCCTTGTTTTCCTTCTTTCTCTCCAGGCTGGTATGCATGCAGTAAGAGAAAACAGATATATTGTCCTTGCCAAAGACTTTGAAAAAGGATACAAAAACAACATCAAGAAAGATGAATCCGAACACGAATTTTACAAATAATTTTGCTGTTTTAGTGGTGTAACATAATAGTATTAGTTCTACATTTATTTACGTCTAACCTGTTGTAATGAAACCTATAATTAGTCTCTGTGTATTATACACATAGTTAAACAACTGGACAAAAACTTTTATAAACTGGAATTGTATATTTCTAGTTAACAATAAAATAAAACATTACAATCTTTTTTTTACTGCTGTTTCAGTTTGCTTACATAAATATTAATAGTAAACCTTAAAATTAATCATTATAACTGCTGGAAACAAAATCTGAAATACAGTGAAGTGTGTACATGGTTAGAGTTAAGTTAATTATTTTTGCTTCGGGTTATTAACATTTCATTTCTACCTCATAAAAAAAAAAACACCTTATCATACTCAAGAAAAATTATAGTTTTTGTATTATTATTTTCTTACCTTTTTTCATTTAATTTTAATAAAATAAGCTATTCTACAGGTTTAAAACTCAATTCTCTGGTTATATGAACATTTTTCTGGGTTTACCATGGTCGTTAAGGTTTTATAGTACTTCCAAGTATTTCTGTAACAACACCAGGGATATTAAGTATTATGAAATCAGAATCATGTTTCCCAACAAAGGTGTGCCCCATCTAATACAGCATGATTGGTAAGTGTTCTGTGGGGTTGAGGTCTGGAGAAAATGCTGGTTAGTTCATTCTCACACACACTGGAGTTGACTGGGACTTTTGTTTTTGGTAAATCACTTAGCAACCAACCTACCAATGTGCATCTCGTGCCCCAGTTACAAAAACCTACAATCTAATTATAACTGCTAATTTTTAGTTTTACAAAAATAAACTACTGGCTGTATCAGTAGATCTCATTTTTGGCATTTGTGATTAGCTCAACAAAACATTTTCCACTGACCTGTTTGGCCAGTTTACTCCTACTCACAATAGTTTCATGTTTAAGGTAGACAGAGGCAATATATGCCTAGAAAACTTGTCAAAATTTTATTCCCACAATGCACAGCATGACATACAGGTCAATATCTCCATCAGGGCCACCCACAAATCTCTCAAGTAGGGCCCTGTGAATCACAATGTTTTTTGTATCAAATCAGCTGGAGCATATATAGGTTATAGGGTATATCAACTGGGGCATATATAGATATATAACACATTATAAAGCCGTTATGCAAAGTATTTATTTCAAATTGTAACGTTACTCAGTATGGCTCCAAATTTCAAGGAATTATTAAGATACGCAACAACTACAAAGATTACAGTTTTTTGTGACTTGCTTCACAGTAGGTACAG